AACCCGTGCATTATGCGAAAGAACGAACGAACGTAATTCAAAAGTTTTTTTTTTTTTTTTTTTTTAAATAATTAATTAAAATGGAATCAATTAATCATTACCTGGATTTTACTAGAAGGCGGTGAAACGGCCAAAAAAATGGACATTGTAGCACGTAGGAAATTTTCTTGAGCCGCCGGATCGTAGGGTATTATTTCAACTTGTCCGCATGATCTCGACATTTTTTTCGATTTGCTTCCCATTTGATTATCCGGACCGTTAATGTTAATAATATTATTCGTGACGAAACTTCCGGTTTTGTCACTCGAAACGTTTCCGGAAATCAATACGACTCCATTAATTTCGTCACGATTCACTCTTCTTCCGGTGGTTTCTTGTCCTACCATGTCGCCGCTACCGTCGCCGTCGCCGCCATCACCGGAACTCGCAATTTCATTACTACTAAAACTAAAATCCGGTATTTTCATGTATTTGTTATTATTATCTTTCGACTTTTCCATTTCTCCTCCATCTTTTTTAACGTCAAAACTTGTTTGCTTTTTAAATATTAGAGCTAAAAGCGTCGCGTCTTTTTTCCTCGTGTATTTAACATCCGTTTTCACGTACGAACCATCTCGACAAGATGGAAAACTTAATTTTCTACGTATTTTACATTTTTCAAAATTTACCGAATCCGATTTTGTCGTTACGTCATCGTCGACGACGTCATCGTCGTCGTTGTCGTACCACCATTTTGACGTTTCGTATTCGTTTCCTATTGTTCTCTGATGTACGAAACCTTTTTTACTGTATTTCCTTTCCATTTGATATTGTTTCGTGACCGTTAAACTCATTTTTCTATGACGTGATTCTATTTTCGGAGACAATTCGAATTCTTCTAAATCCGTGAAAACTTTTTTGACTTTTTCAATTTTACTCTTTTCCGTATTGTTCGATTGTTTCCCAACGTGACCCACCGCACAACTCGCATCGTCATGATTATTACTTAAATTCGAATTCGACGACGATGTATTATGTGTTCCTGTCGTCCTGTTGTTCCTGCTTCTGTTCGTGTTGTTCCTGTATTCTGCTTTTTTGTGCTTACTTTTCTCCTTATTGATCCGACTAATTTCCTTGCCCAATCTTGTGGTTTACTTTTCGATTCATTTAACGTTTTACATAATTCTTCTCTATCCGGTGATAAATGTTTTAATTTTTTTTCCCTTTCTCCTCCTCCTCCTCCTCCCGTAGTATCCTTATTAAGGGGCGTGTTTATTTTTTTTCCAGACCCCCTCCCTCTTCAAATTTTTTTCTTTTTTTTTTTTTGTTTTTTCCGACTTTACTTTTATTTTTTATAAATAATATAAAATCACAAAACAACTCACACGCATCATCATCATCATCATCGTATTTATTCGAACACTATTAACATAATCGCTAAAAACTTTGTCACGTGACTTGAGTGTTAAATTTTTAAAAACAATGTTTAAAATGTCATGAAATTATTTTTTCATCATCACCACCACCACCGCCACCATCATCATCATCATCATTTTTATAATTATTATTATTATTATTAAATATATTATTATTATTCATTTACGTCAAATTTTTACTCTAGGAAATTCTATATTTGAAAAAAAAAAAATAATAATAATAAACGACGCGTTTTTTTTCTTTTTTTATCGTTTCCCGTCATTAACAAAACATTTGATAATAATGATAATAATAATAATAATAATAATAATAATAATAATTGTACGCTGATAAGGTCGACGATAATTTTTTTTTTTTTTATAAACGTAATAAATCAAACGGATAACGTTATAATATGTGCCCTTGTTTATTTACAAATGGAAAATTTTCGATTAAACAAAAAGACGTGACACTAGAATAACTCGAATTCATTTAAACAATAATAATAATAATAATAATAATAAAACCGCAAAGATCTTTTACATGCGACAGTAAATATATATATTTATTTATTTTAACATTTATTATTAATATTATTATTATTATTATTATTTCGCATTTTAAATTTTAATTTTCGTTTCGTAATAAATAAACGTAAAAATATATATATATATATATATATATATATATTTATTTATTTTCTATAACCACGTTTATTCCCTTCGGCTTATTTTATATATTAAATCTCACGTATTATAATTTTTTTTCTAATTAATTACTCAACAATTGTATCGATTGCTATCGGTTACCACTCAAAAAAAAAAAATGGCGGAATAAAGATTAGGTTTTCAATAATAATAATATTAATACCTTTTAACCTTTTTTTGTATATTACGTCACAAAAGAAAATTAACCGTAAAAAAAAAAAAAAAGAAGAATGAATTTGGAATAGATAGATAGATAGAAAGATGTATAAAATGTCAAATGAAATTAAAGTTAAAGAAAATTTATCATCACAAAAATTTCTAATCAATTTTGACGGGAAAACCTTTTTTTTTCTTTTTGTGAAATCAATCGCAATTTTTTTTTCTTTTTTTTACGTCACGTTTTATCATCGAATTTTTATATAAAACCCGTCTGTTTGTTTGTTTGTTTTATTTTTTACGAAAAGACCAAAAATTTATTTATTTTTTTTTCACTTCCTTATTTATTTTTTGAATTTGTTTGTTTGTCTGTTTGTTTGTTGTCGCCATTTTTAAAACAAAAAACGCATAAAATTATTTGTTCCGTTTTAAATCATTTTATTCGTTCATAATAATTTTAACCCCCCTTCCCTCCTTTTCTGGTAGTTGCTTTTTAAATATTTCCTTTTCTCTCTCTCTCTCTCTATTCCCCATCCTCCCCGTCTCTCTCTCTCTCTCTCTCTCTCACATTTTCTCTCATAAGGTAAAAAAAAAACGATACCGGAAAATGTTGTTGTTGTTATATATATATACCATCGCGATGTATCCGGATTTTAAACTAAAACTTTTTATTCTTATTTATACGTCATTTCCGGTTTGAAAACATATCCGTTTTATTATTATTATTATTATTATTACGATCACTTTTCTTTAAGTACGCGAAACATTTGTAATTGTCCTAACAAAATAAATTTACACCGTAGAAAATGTTTTTTTGTTTTTTTTTTCGTCGGCCTTTTTAAAAAAAAAAAACTGAAAAGAAAAAAAAAACAAAAAACAAAATGGCGCCGAAAAGTTATGATTTACGTCCGTTCATATGAATATACATGGGGGTTTTTTATGTACACACACACAAAAGAAAAAAAAAATTCGATAACTTTTTTTTTTTTTTTTTTGGAACATGTCGATGTTTTTCCCTTCCTCTCTCCCTCCCTCCCAACCCTAAACTACCCTGAACTACCCTAAACTACCCTTCGTAATATATCACATTTTTTTTTTTTTAAACGAAAAATTAATTTTTAACAATTTTTTTTTTGGAAACGGAAACGAAATTTTTTTTTTTTATTCTATTGTTGGCAATTCGTTTTTTTCGCTCCCTCCCCTTCCCCTACTTCCCCTTCCTCCCGCCATGTTTCGCTTGTTGTCTTGTCAGTTTTTCGAAATGAAATCTTCCGAAGCGTTTTCTTACTTTCCCCCGTCCCCTCGTCCCCCCGTCTTAAACCTCTCCCGATACGTTTTCCCATTTTAAAACAAAATTATATTATTAAAAATTATTATTATTATTTTTAAAAAAAATTCTATCGGAAAATCTAGCAGACGAATTTTAAAAAAAACATTTTCCGTCAATTTGTTATCGTCATAAAATTCAGAAAAATAATAATAATAATATCAAAAATATATTTTCTGATTCCACGAGATGTGTAAAAAAAAAATTAAAAATTCCACGCGACCGATAATAATAATAATAATAATAATAATAATAATAATTTCACGTTGGAAAATATTATTTGAAACAAAAAAAAAAATATTCGGAAGTCGGAGGGGAAGGGATAAAAAATTTTCCGGGGAAAGAAAAATGAAAATGTCAAAGTTAAAATAGTAAGAAAATCGATCGAATGCGACGTCTCTCTCACTCTCACTCTCTCTCTCTCTTTTTCTTTAATGTCGGCCATTGTCTTTTTTTTTGTTTGTAAATTTTAAACAGATTCGTTAATATATATATTTTCATCACTGGACATTTTCCGTTTTTTTTTCGGATTAATTTAAATTCATTCATGCAAATTTATTTATCAAGACAAGAGTAAATTTTTTTTTTTCTATTATCGATTATCGATTATCGATAAATACAAGAAAAATTTAACTTCGGTTACGGCGACAAAAGACAAAAAAAATTTGAGAAAATTCTTTAAATTTTTCATTAGTCGATATTGATTCACGTAAAAAGTTTTCTTTTAAAAAAAAAATTGTAAAACTTTACCGAAAGTAAGAAAAACATGAAGTAACAACAACGGATTCGATCGAATGCAAAAAGTTAATTTTTTTTTTTTTTTGCGACAATTAATTGACAAAATTGCGACAAAAATTTAATATAATAATAATAATGATGATACTGAAATATATATAATCGTTATCAAATTTTCACGTTACGTGATTTTATAAAAATAAATTCAATTGGTTTTAATATGAAATTCTTTTTTTATAGGAAAAAATTATATTTTCGTCGTGTCAGAAGAAAAGAACGTCGAGTGAGAAGGGGGAGGAGAGGGGAGTGGAGGAGGGAGAGAGAGAAAAATAAGTAACAAACCGCAACACGCGCCCCGTTTGTTAATTTAATTTTATCATTTTTTTTTCTTCTTTTTTCTTTTTTTTTTTATTAAAGTTTTAATATTTTATTTACTTATTTAATAAAGTTTCTTCCCTTTGTCCACCCGTCCGCCCCTCCGCCCCCCGCACTTAATACCATATTATTTAATTCATTAGAGAAAAAAAAAAACCTTTTTCATTTTGTTCTTACTTTTTTTTTCTTTTTTTTTCTTCTTCCAGGGAGCAGGAAAAAGTTAATTTTCATTTCGGTGATTTTAAAACCCTCCCCCTCCTCCTTCCCAACTTCTTACACCGAACACAAAAAATAAAATAAAATAAAATAAAAATTCTTAATAAACGATTGAACATCATAAAATGAAAATAAAAAAATAAAAATTTATTTATTGTAAATTTTGCTTTCTCTCTCTCTCTCTCTCTCTCTTCCTCTTTCTACTCCTCTCTCTCTTTCTCTCTCTCTGTCTCTCTCATTCTATCTCATTCTATCTCATTCTACCGCTCTTTTTCTCCCCCCCTCTCTCTACTTCTCTCATTCTATTTTTTCTACCGTTTTCTACCTCTTCTTCTCTCTAGCCCTCTCATTCTATCTCTATCCCTCTCATTTTATCTCTTTCTCTCCCCCCTCTCTCTCTCTGTCTCTCTTTCTAACTCTTTCTATCCTTCTCTTTCACTATTTTTCTCTCTATCTCTCTCTTCCTCTCTCTATTTCCCTCATTATTTCTCTTTTTATCTCTTTCTCTTTATACCTCTTTCTACTCCTCTCTCTACCTCTCTCTTCCCTTTCTATCTCCCTCATTCTTTTTCTTTCTAACTCTTTCTACCTCTTTCTCTCTCTCTCATTCCCATCTCTTTCTACTTTTTTCTCTCTTTCCTCCACTCCCTCTCTCTATTTCACTTTCTAACTTTTTCTACCTCTCTCTTTCTCTGTTTACCGCCATTTGAAAGTTTTTTTCTTCTTACACAAAACCCATCAGAATTCTTTAAAACAAAAACTATTTTTACCATTATTATTATTATTATAGGTAATATTCAGGAAAATTTTTGACGATTATCGATCGATCATACACACTCGTAAAGGAAAAAATTATAAAAATTATTATTATTATTATTTTGTAAGGGTTATTGTTTTCGTGTTAGTTAAATTTTCGGACGTGTTATTAACCTATTTTTCTTTTTTTTTTAATAACGATTAACCCAAATTTTTTTTTTTTTTTAGAAAAACATTAAAAATCGAAACGCTAGGGTATTGATAACATTTAAATTTGATTTTTTTTGTTTAAAATTTTCATTTTATCAGTCGATGAAGAAAATGGAAAATGGAAAATGGTTCAGAGTAACCCTTTTTTTTTTGTTTTTTAAATATTTCATCGAATTTTTTTTTTAAATTTTATTTTTAGTTATAATATATGTAAATGTTTAGAAAAAAAAATGAAAAAAAAAAACGTTAACTTGAAAATAATAACGTTAAGAAAAAGTAAAACACGTGAATAAGTATAATAATGACGTCACAACGACTATATAAATAACTTTTCCATCGGTTTGAGAAAGAGAGAGAGAGAGAGAAAGAGAGAGAGAGAAGGAGAGAGGGGGGGGGGAAATCGAAAATCGATTATTTGATAAAATTTAAACTTTTTCTTTAAAAGTTTTCTTTTCTTTTCTTTCTTCTCTCCCTCCCTTAACAACAGCGGTTAATGTTAAAACAAAAAATAAGAAGAAGAATTAAGCGTTAAATCGGTTATACGAAATAATAATAATAATAATAATGATGATGATGATAATAATGAAAAACAAGTCGTACGAAACGCTCGGAGAAAATAAAATTAATATTTTACACTACGAGAGTGAGTGATCGAAACGAATAAAATCATTTCCAGACAGACGATTTTATTTGGGAAACAATTTTCTCCAGGCATTGCACACGCACACACGCACAACACACAGACAGACACAGAAAATCCTTTATTTTGAAAACTTAAAAACTTTATTTTAAGTATTAAAATACGGTCGAACGATTTCTATAACGATAAATTTATATATATATATATATTTTTTTTTCTTTTCTGCTAAATCCAATGAGATTATTATTATTATTATTATTATCATCATCATCATTATTTTTATTATTATTGGAAAAGTTAAACGATTTTACTGAAAAAAAAAAAAAAAAAAAACAAAATCAAATTCGGTGTAAATACTAAAACGATTTTC